TAGTGTTAATCGGTCACGTGACATTAACGTCGAAGAAAGAGAGGTCTGGGGAGGAGAAGGAAGTTCTTCCTGATGGTTATGACGTAGGATGTGTGATGTTATTTACAGGTTAGTTAAGCTGATCAATTGACAGAGAAATCAATCGGTAATTATTGATGACCAAATATTGCTTTAATCTTCAGCTCCTGTTTCCAAAGGCTCAAAGAAGCGTAACGCTGTTGAGTGGTTGGTAGGAAAGAACGAAGCGTTTTATCTTTATTCACTTGGACCAAATGCTGCCAGTGTYGGTCATYTACAGAACGACTTTGAGCTCATGACATCAAACAAGTAAAATCCACWCTTATTACGTCTTTTGATGTTGATTGTTATTGATTATTATTATTATGTTTCCAGTCCTTCTCAGTCGTTTTTAATYGCAAGCAAACTTTGGTCCAGACTCTCTATCAGTGAGCGGTCGGTAGGAAGYGAGTTGAAGACTGGATACTTGACTAGTCCTTTCATGATMATCCCAGATATAGAGTCCTCTATAAGGGTAAGTTTTTTCTATAAACAACGGATTAATAATTGATTGTTTGGTATATTGATTGATTCATTAACTTTTTTTTGATTGATTGAATCTGATTTAGAGACTCTTAACTAAAATCTTTCCTTGTGCCAGGTAATTGTTTGAATGATTTTTCATTCATCTAACAGCAGCTTTTGTGTGTTTCTTTTCCAGGGAAACCTTTTCTTGTCCTACTCACCGAAAAATCCTTCCATGTTCTCGCAGGCCGTTCGATTACCATATATAGATGATAAATCACGACGAACAAGTCAATATGACACATCTAAACCACCAATCACAGTGAATTTTGTTCAAAACGAGGCTAAACTATTTCATGAAGTGAAGGCTCTTAGGGTCAGTACGCTATTAGAAGCAGCGTATGACGTTGGAGGGATGACAGTTTTCATTTACCTGTTCGGGAAGGTAATTCTTTCTACAAGGATTTCAACATAAATGCAATATTGACTGTATTTTAATGCARTAATGTTCTTTACTCCGTCAGGTAGTTGAGATGACGAACGACCACAAGACTCAAGCCGATGCACTTTCAGTCGTTCTCTCTTTACAGCGGAATTGTGAATATCACGCATGCGCAATGTACCACCAATCAGGTTATGCTTTACTGAAAAGAATACTTCTTACCCCGCAATGTATGGTGGGATATCATATGCTGAAGGTAACGTTCTGTTCAGTATCTTGTAGTGTCTTGTGAAGTAATACGCTTGACTATTGCAACTTTCATTTGTTTTGTTGYWACATATGTTATGTTGGTGATTTTGACAAATCTCGAATGATGGATGATTAAAATATAGATTYTTTATCCCTAATATATGTTCAGATATTAATGGAAGCKGCATGTGACGGCGATGTCTTCAAACAAACCAACCTATCAGACAACCCKATCATGYTGAATATCGACTCCAACGCYGTTGTTCGTAATGTCGACATATTTCAACACTACCTCCTCAACTGGAAGATATGGGACAAGGCTAAACAAGGAGTTTTTGAAATGTTGCTCTCGACTCTAGAGATACTCGTCCATGCCAGTCAYCCTCACTACAAGTTTAATATCWGTCAGYTTCAAAARGCTGAACTTGTACAACAGCTTCTGATTGGTTGTCAGGTACACACGTGATCGCGTTACTAACTATTGATTCGTCCTTTAATCCAGTACATTGTTTTTCGTTTATTCATTTATAACTTCAACATCGATCCATCAAACCATTCTTGCTTTTTCTTATCCCCTATTTGTATTATCCAAACATGTTTACTTCAATTCATTTATTCATTCATCCATTCCCACCCATCATCGAAACATCTAACTCATTTTCATTTATCCATTCGGTCATCTATCCCTATGTGTGTATCATCCAACCATCCACATAGTCGTTCATTCATTYATTTATTCATTCAAAAACTCATCATTTCTATGTTAGTCTAAGCAATAAATATCCAATCCATTTGATTCARTATTATTTAATTTCTGATTGTGTTGTTTCTAGGAGCGTCTTGGTGAAGGTCTTACAGAGATTCCATCATCCATCAGTACGCTGTATGTAAATATCATTCACAATATTATGGGTAACCCGCCTGATCTGACSGTATTGAAGGCTGTATGTGAATTCTTGATAGCAGTGCATCCAACAGAGGAAATCATTCGTCTTCATTCTCCGAGTAGATTCTACTTGACYGAGCGCAGCTTCARATTTGGTATGATAATTTTAAATGACKAAMAATMAGTKTTTTGGCTTGAGCTATAATAACATYATAGRCAACCATGCAATTCTTGGTAATGACATTKTATKTGTTTAGATTGCAGAATTCCTGCTGTAACTCGCCAACCACTATTAGTACCATCATCACTATCTGCACCAACGATTAAGAGGCAAAGTCCTATTCCAATGTCCAATCCAGTCCAAGAAACCAGCACAGCTCCAMATTCCAGTCCRRTCCAAACATYCAACTCGGTCCCACCATCTAGTGCAATCCCAGCATCCAGWARTGTGACATCRCCTTGTAACCCTGYTAGAAATTGTAACGATGAATTGCGTGAMGTGTGTGAYGCRCTRTCAGTCGTCCAGGACGACAAACACCCGACASTAGCTGAATCAGACAGGAAAATTTCGTCATCAAGTGCACATAGCACCTTGTCGTCATCTCAAGAACCAGAATCATCAACAGTTCAATTCATCGGTCCTCATTTCGCTAGTTGTCCACAGCCTTCCGCTGGCAGGAATCTCACTGTACAAATTCCTAGTCAAACGCCGCCCACTGCTAAGCCTGTATATGGGTCAGCGGATGGCGCTAGTATTTTACTGCAAAACAGTCCACTAAATGAAAGATATTCCTCTTTCTCCAGTCCATCAGCGAACCAGACTCCACTAAATGAAAGATATTCCTCTTTCTCCAGTCCATCAGCGAACCAGACTCCACCAACGCCACAAACATCTGCTGGTGAGTCATACACGGGTCCTGAGAGCAATCCTATGTCGATATCCAATCAAAGTACCACACCACAGAGTATTGAGATGGCGACATCAAGCGTTGACGTCATGGAGTACGACTTCATCGACGAATCAGATTTCAGTTCTTTTAAAGGAAGGTACGACATTATATTATTTCATATCTGATGTCCAAAGATAAAGAAAATGTTTTAAGTTTTATGCGTGTTTTATGATTTTAGTTTTGCTAATCAAAGTTCAGTGGATGAGTACCTGGTTGTCGAGGGTTATCCTGGTATTAAGTCAAGTACTGGTACATATAAACCTGGTAATAAACGCGACAGAAGAAAGCACGTGACTGATCACATGACTAAGGTAAATTATCAATGCACTGTAGCATGAGTAGTTGTCATGTGATGATAAACTCCGCTGATCAATGATGTTGATGTTGCGCAAGCAGACCAGCATTGAAACGTCGTATGGATTTACAATAAGGCAGGATATTCATGTACAGACCATGGTTGACCATGGTCATCTCATGGTTAATTGCTAGCACTGACAATAAGTTACCAATTTCAGATGAGATTAGGCCTGCTAAAACTGCTTCAGAAAGTTCTTCTCAACCTACAAGCCGAACAGATCCCAGGCGTTGTGGGTGGKGTACTTAAGGTTGAATATCTACTTGTMTGGGTGTCGCACCACTCTTCCTCGGTCAGAGAACTCGTCATTAAGGTATTAAAACAATGCATCTTCGCACCTCATTTATAACATCTGATATTTCATCTTTTCATTTACAGATTTTATGCTTATATTTACAAAAAGCAGAATCTGAACGATACAATCATTTTGTTGATATCCGTGGATTTCATCTCTTAGCCAATCAGGTACGGTAGGCTTGTTCTTGGTCGTCAGTAAGTATGGCTTGACCTATAACTAAAAATTCCCCCTTCCCTCCCTCCCTTAGTCCTCCAACCAGTTGATATTACTACCTCTTCATTCATTTTCCCATTATTTATTGTCAATTTGTTAATAGATTTACGACCACGAGGTTACCAAGGGGACCATCGAAGCRTTGCTATGGTTACTAGTGGGTCGACCAGTTGAYCTGGAAAAGGATTAGTGAGTATTTCATGACGTCATATCCTGTTTATTCATTTAATTATTACGTTATTAATACAGTTATTACTTTACTATCTGTAGTGCATACTCCACTRCTAGTATGGACCAGTGTTTGCTGAGTTCAGTACGAGCATTGGGCGTGGTCCCGTTACTATCGATACTAGAAGATACTCTYGTCTCACAACATCTTCATCACATGTTGGTTAAACATATTTGCCAATTATTCCTCAAGGTCAGTCTTTAAACATTCATTATAGCTTATAAAAATGTATTAGCTTGCCCCTAGTTTAGTGGGCAGGGACACCGCAACAGCTTTCTCCCATTACTGCGGGCCCGATACTCTCACACTCGCTACCTCTACCTCTACAATACTGAACAAAGGAGGGCGGGTATAACTCCTCTACATGACCGATCCTTGAATTTAAAGCACGTTGTAGTCATTTTTCATGTTTTTTTGTATTTAGGTTGATGAGTTATCGTTAAAAGCTGTATCACATGGTTTATTGCACACCATATGTAAYGTGATTACTAGACTTGCAAGAATACACCATCAGCAAAGGTATTCATGGCATTCATTCATTTGCTCGTCCACACCCATTCATTCGATTTCTTACAAATGAATATCCTGCCAATGTAGAACTAGTTTTTCTCGCTATTGATTAAGTTAGTAATGTTTTGAACAAGATGCTCATTTCAATCTCTTCGTACATCTTCCTCTCTCCTTGTTGTAGTATGAATAAAGAGGACACCACAGTCGATGTCAATGCATTAATGGATGATATACAGTCATTAATCGCTAGTGTCGTCATCAGAGCTTGCAGGTAAGTCAACTTAAAAGAACTATTGAAATCACAAGAGCTGCGTCGTCATC